AAGCGTAACAGCGTAGATCCAGTTTTCTCGTGGACGTTCCAAGTCCCATGATGTGCCTTCTCGGGTACATGGGGGATGTCATCCTCCTCCTGCCTTCCATGATTCTCAATCGTTGCTCCCCACGTTTCGGATCCGCTTTGATTTCCTCCCTCCTCTCCCCGCCATGTGTGCCGCATGCTCTAGCCGCGCCAGGTGCGCCACGTTCGGGGCACGCGCAGAGTGTGCCAGGTGCGCCTGCGCACGGGGCAGTACACATCGGGAAACGCGTCGGCCCCCACCACCCTTGTCGAAAACCAGTGCGCAATCGCAGCGGGGTGGCCATCATAGCGTCTGGTGGGCCTGCACATCGCAGACAACATGCCAGCACCCCTGCAGTCCCAGGCAAAACCAGTGCACAGTGATCGCGGGGTGCCCGCGCATGGTCCAGACTTTGCCTCGAAGTGCAGTTTTCTTTTATGGTTTGTTCTCAGGGGTGCTGGCCCTGCGCGCAGCAGGCAATGTGCGGGCACACCCGCCGCCCCTTCCCAAAAACAGTAGGAAGTGTTCGCGGCCTCCCCGGATCATGACCCAAGATTTCGCCCCAAAGTGGACTTCACAGTGTTTTTGATAGGGATGGGGGGGGGCCGCATTGGTCCTGGTTGGCAGCTGGTCGCCTGGGGGGGAGGGGGTGTTTTCCAACAGGGGACAGTGATAAACCCTCCCCGAAAGAAAAAAAAATATCCTGGCGAAGGACCCAACCATATGCAATTGTGAGTACCGCTATTGTGAATATCTTCTTCGGTGGCGCTCCCTATGGGGCCACGAAACGTGTGAGGGGTGTGCCGAAATGGGTGTGCGGGACGCATGCGGGCACACCCACTGGAACCTTCGGTGGAGCTCCCCATGGGGCCACGAAACGTGTGAGGGTGCCGAAATGGGTGTTCGGGACGCGGTGGAGCCCCCACGGGGCCACGAAACGTGCGAGGGGTTGCCGAATTGGTGTGCGGGACGCATGCGGGCACACCCACTGGGGCCTTCGGTGGAGCTCCCTATGGAGCCACGAAACGTGTGAAGAGTATTGCCGAATGGGTGTGCGGGACGCATGCGGGCACACCCACGGGACCTTCGGTGGAGCTCCCTATGGGGCCACGAACGCGTTGAGGGGTGTGCCGAATTGGGTGTGCGTGACGCATGCGGGCGGCAGCACTGGGGCCTTCGGCGGAGCTCCCTATGGGGCTACGAAACGTGTGAGGGGTGTGCCGAAATGAACGTGCTGGACGCATGCGGGCACACCCACCGGGACCTTCGGTGGGAGGGGTCACGAAACGCGTGAGGGGTGTGCCGAAATGGGTGTGCGGGACGCATGCGGGCACACCCATTGGGGCCTTCGGCGGACTATGGGGCCACGAAACGTGTGAGGGGTGTGCCGAATTGGGTGTGCGTGACGCATGCGGGCGGCAGCACTGGGGCCTTCGGTGGAGCTCCTATGGGGCCACGAAACGTGTGAGGGGTGTGCCGAATTGGGTGTGGGTGACGCATGCGGGCGGCAGCACGCATGGGGCGGCAGCACTGGGGCCTTCGGTGGGGCTCCCTATGGGGCCACGAAACGTGTGAGGGGTGTGCCGAATTGGGTGTGGGTGACGCATGCGGGCGGCAGCACTGGGGCCTTCGGTGGGGCTCCCTATGGGGCCACGAAACGTGTGAGGGGTGTGCCGAATTGGGTGTGCGGGACGCATGCGGGCGGCAGCACTGGGGCCTTCGGTGGAGCTCCCTATGGGGCCACGAAACGTGTGAGGGGTGTGCCGAATTGGGTGTGGCGTGACGCATGGGCCACGGTGCCGGCAGCATGCGGGCGGCAGCACTGGGGCCTTCGGCGGAGCTCCCTATGGGGCCACGAAACGTGTGAGGGGTGTGCCGAATTGGGTTTGTGACTGCGGGCGGCATGCAGCACTGGGGCCTTCGGTGGAGCTCCCTATGGGGCCACGAAACGTGTGAGGGGTGTGCCGAATTGGGTGTGCGGGACGCATGCGCATGCGGCGGCAGCACTGGGGCCTTCGGAGGAGCTCCCTATGGGGCCACGAAACGTGTGAGGGGTGTGCCGAAATGGGTGTGCGGGACGCATGCGGGCGGCAGCACTGGGGCCTTCGGCGGAGCTCCTACGGGGCCACGAAACGTGTGAGGGGTGTGCCGAATTGGGTATGCGTGACGCATGCGGGCGGCAGCACTGGGGCCTTCGGCGGAGCTCCCTATGGAGCTACGAAACGTGGTACTGGGTGGGTGAAACGCAGGGAAGAGGGGGAGGAGGAGGGAGGAGGAGGAGGAGGAGGAGGAGAGGAGGAGGAGAGGAGACGCGGGCCACCGTCTCTTCAAAACGAGGACCCAACACCACAGGATGGATGGGAAAAAAAGGAATGCTGGAAGAAGGAACGCACCAAACAACTCACGCCCGAAAGGGCCGGTGGGACATTCGGGGAGCCTTCGACGGCAGAGCGCGCGGAACGGTCACGGTACATGTAATTATGCTGCCAGATGGCAGATGTTGCGTGCATCGTTGTGCGGTAACAGGCCGCCTCTGTGGGTCCATCGACCAGTTTGCTAGCGGGTGGTCGTCTCGCTGCCCGCTCCGAGCCTTCTGTCCTCCTCCGTCGCAGCAAGCGCATTCGTCATTGAATGTGACAGGAAGAGGGCGGAGGGTTTCCAAACAGAGCACGAACCCTTACCTCCATTTCCCACCTCCTTCTCCGCTCACCTGCCCTTGCAGCTTCCCCTCCCCTTCGCCACCTCACTCCCCCTCTCCCCACACTTCCCCGCTTCTCCTCCACTAATCCCCACCTGTTCCTACACACTCCCGTGATCACTCCCCCCTGCCCGTTCCTCCCCATCTCCGTCCCCCACATGTCTCACGATGTGTCCTTACCCGTTTCTCTGTTGCCTCTCTTTTTCTCTTCCTTCGGTCCTCCTTCCCCCAATCCCGCTATTCCCTTTCCGCTCCCGTCCCCTTCCCATTCTCCCCCCTCCCCATACGTTCTCACTCCCTTCCCCCATCCCTTCCCCCTCCCGGCCCCTCCCCTCACCATTCCTTCTCCACCCAACTCCCATCCCCTTCCTCTCCCCATCATTCACCTTCCCTCCCTTTCCCTCCCCCGTTTCCCCTCGCCTCCCTCATCTCCCCCTTCCTGCGCATCCCGCGCCGTCCCCCTTCCCCCATCTTCCTCTCCATCTTTCCTGCCCCTGCCTTGCCCCCCTCCCCACAACCGCCCATTCCTTACCCCGTCTCTCTTATCCGTGACTCCGCCCTCTGCCGCAAGCCCCCTCTCTATCAGAATAGGACATGCCAGAGCTGTGTTGGGATGCTTGGGCGCCGAATCGGAGCAATATCGGAGCCTCATGCGAGGACAGCTGGTGGCCGTGACGTCACTTACAAGGGATCAGGGCTTCAAGGGCGCGAGTCTGGCCTAAGTTGCCAGGGGTCTTGCGAGGACTGTGGTTCCCGAGGCTATGGCGAAATGTACTATGGGCTCCAGCCTCGGGAGCGCGAGACTGGTGTAATGTGAATTGGGTTTGGGCTTCGGGGGGCGCATCTCTGGCGCAATATGTTGGGGCGACTCCGGCCTAGTGTGCGAGAGATGCTGGCCTCGGGAGCGCGAAGCTGGTGCGATGTGCAGTGGATTCTGGCTTCGGGAGCGCGAGTCTGGTGTAACTGCCAGAGGTTACGGCCCCGGCAGCGCGAATGTGGCGCAACGTACTGGGGATTCTGGCTTCGGGAGCATAACTCTGGCGTGGTTTAAAAGGAACTACTGCTTCGGTATTGCACGTGCCCCAGCCCCAAGATTCAGGCAACCGGGCTCAAGCGTGGTGGGCAGGTCATTTTTCTGACCCCTCCCGCGCGGACAGCATCAGTTTACAGTAGGGAGCAGCAGCGAGCTACAGTCAACCCGCATAGTAAGAATGGACAACCTTCCCAAGGGTACCCTTGCATCGTTGTCCCTTCGGCCCATCATTGGACACGTTCGTTGGCCAACCTCGTTCGGAAAACGTTAACATGGCCCTCCAAGGCCCCTGCTTGCATCCTTACCGCGCATCCTTATGAGACAGGTTGATTGTACAACACTGGACCCTGGAAATTGGAACCAGCGCAGGGCGCAGGAGACCTCGGCCGCGCAGCCTGGCGGCCCTTTTCACGGGGCCCGGCGGACTCCCCCGTACCTCCCCACTCGGGGCTCTCAAGAGACGGGGGTCGATGCAAATGGAGGTCACCGACCAATACAGGCCCGGATCCTCCTCCTCCTCCTCCTCCTCCTCCTCCTCCTCCTCCTCCTCCTCCTCCTCGATGGCAAGTAGCAACACCTAAGGGGGTGTGGACGGTGGACAGGTGCAAAGCTCCAGGCCCCATTTTTGCCCGTAAAGGGAACCTTTCCAGTGAGCAGGCAAGCGAGGTGTTTCGGTCGAGACTGCAGATTTGGATTGATTGTCCCACAGCCGCGAGCAGCAGCTCCTCCTCCTCCTCCTCCTCCTCCTCCTCTCTCCTCCTCCTCCTCCTCCTCCTCCTCCTCCTCCTCCTCCTCCTCCTCCTCCTCCTCCTCCTCCTCCTCCTGACACGATTGACCTGGGTCAGTGCGTCCCCGACCCCTTCCTTCTCCCTTCCCTTCCCGCACCCCCAAAGAATCTGCCACGGAACCTTTCCATGGGCGCGTTCTGACCACAGCTTGTGGACGGAATCCAGCCGTGGCGGCGAGAAGCCTCCCCCACCGGCTCGCGAGGGGCCAGAAACGCAGCAGAACTGCGATTTTCGATCCTCGCCTCCTCTCCGGAGGTGGACAGACTCGAAGGCAAAGGATGACACTCAGGGCCAGCACTCGTGAGGGCAGACGGCTCACGGAAGGCTAAGAGTTGTGTCATGACGGCTTGCTGCCATCAAACATGTGCGCCTCGAATTTGGGGGTTTGCGTACCGACCCCCCCCCCCTCCCGCTTTCACCGAGACAGGAGGAGGCGCGCGCTCGCGGCGCGGCGCGGTCCGAGGAGCTCCGCGAGCTCCAGAAGGGCAGCAAGACGGCCGCCATGATCGGTTCATGGGCAAAGCAGGGCACCAGGGGGGGTGGGGGGGAAGGAGCCATGCCAGGAGCGACAGCCCCAACCAAAACAGGCTCGTTCACATCAGGAACACCACGGCTAAGACCAGAATAGCCCGGGGGCCCACACCAGGAACGGCGTCCAGTCATTCCGGGAAGAGCCGTGCAACCGGGGGGGAGGAAGATACTAATAACGACACGGAGGGGAAGAAGAGAGAGAGAGAGAGATAGAGAGCACAAGGACGGTAAAGGAGAGTCAGGAGGCGAGGTGGAGGAGTGCGCGGGCGAGGTTGCAGGGTTGGTGGAGGTGGGGTGAGGAGGGGGAGGAGAAGGATCAGGAGGCTCAGGATGGGGGAAGAAAGTGATGAGGTGGGTGAGGAGTGATGGGGTGACGATGAGTGCGGCGGGGGGTAACGAGGAGTTCGTGGGGAAGGGTCTAGGGGAGAAAGAGGAAGGGAAGTTCATAATGCCAACGCGAAGGCAGGGTGGTAGAAGACGAAGGACGAGGAAGAGGATGAGGATGAGGAGGAGGTGCATCAAGAGTAGGGGGAGGAGCTGGAGCACGAGCAGGATCAGTAGGATGCTCAAGGGCACCTCGAAACAGAGCAGGGGAAGGAGGGTTGAGGGTCTAGAGGAGAAGAAGATGGCAATGGGAATGAAGAGACTTCAACAGCAGGATGGCGGAAGTCGAGTAGAAGAAGGGCGGAGGGGAAGGGGGGAGCGGGGGGGGGCGGGGAGGCAGGCATATGGCGAAAGGAAAGGATAAGTACATGGGGGAGGAGGGGCAGGGAGGGAAGAGAGGACCCCATAACGCGGTGCTGTCGGGTCGGGGAGTCGAAGGAGGACTGGGCGACCCAGTTTGGTGATTGTAGTGTGTGTGTGTGTGTGTGTGCGTGTGTGTGTGTGTGTGTGTGCGTGGGTGTGTGGGTGTGTGGGTGTGTGGGTGTGTGGGTGTGTGGGTGTGTGGGTGTGTGGGTGTGTGGGTGTGTGGGTGTGTGGGTGTGTGGGTGTGTGGGTGTGTGGGTGTGTGGGTGTGTGGGTGTGTGGGTGTGTGGGTGTGTGGGTGTGTGGGTGTGTGGGTGTGTGGGTGTGTGGGTGTGTGGGTGTGTGCGTGTGTGCGTGTGTGCGTGTGTGCGTGTGTGCGTGTGTGCGTGTGTGCGTGTGTGCGTGTGTGCGTGTGTGCGTGTGTGCGTGTGTGCGTGTGTGCGTTTGTGCGTGTGTGCGTGTGCGTGTGTGCTTGTGTGCGTGTGTGCGTGTGTGCGTGTGTGCGTGTGTGCGT